TTTAGAATTTTTGTTTTAGCCCTATAGTTAACATGACAAGTGCTGGCCAGGGCTCTGGGGCCCACACTGACCTCAACAGATGAAGATGGTGGGTTACTTGTTCAGCTTCACTTTCTTTCACATTCATATTCATGTCTGTGAACTGAAGTAATACTTGTTATACAAGAAGAATTAAAGGTGTACTGGCTCTCACCATACAGGACAGATGTCAAGTGAGGATCCACTGTGGTCCCCTATAATACAGAAATCCATCATGTTTTTTTATAACAAAGTCATCTTATATCAAATTCATGTATTTTCATACAGGGTTGAAAATAGTTCTTTAAAACTCTTTTAACCAGAGGGGTGGAGAAAATTTGTCTCTGGGTGTTGAGTAACTAGTCGTGATGTTTTTAGCCAAAGATTCAACATGAACATTAACAAAAATGTGCAAATAATCAAGGGTTAGGTTAAGCTGGGCTGGAAATCAGGCCTGATATGAACTTAGAAATTTGTCAACAGAGAGCCAAATTCCTGACCTCTTTTAAAGCGGCATTCTGTTTTTGTTGGGTTTTTTTCAAATAGCAGCAGCAATCTGTGTGTATTGGACTCCAGGTTCATGTTCTGCAGTTCTGCCCTATGGAACTGTTTTTCTCTCAGTGTGTCCCTGTTTTGTACAAAGATAACATGACAAGATCACCATGAAACAATTCAGTTGGAACTCCATAAAATAATATTACATCCTCTTCTAAAAGTGTCCTTAGGATAGCACATGACATGGCTAAGAAGAAGTCCAAATATGGAACAAATGCAGTTGCGAGGACAATACTTTCCACTCATATCATCATATCTTAAGATGTTTGATTTGAAAGAGAATGTGCAATGAAGAAAGCAAATGGCACTTGTTGATAATATATAGTTGATAATAGAGTTTAATAATCAGTAAATATATTCTACAGTTTACACAAAGGGAAAGGTATGAGAATGACATACAGTGTTTAAAGTATGTATGTAAAGACATAAATGGTGTGTACAATATACACATACATAGTAGGATAATGAGTGATGTAGGTTAATGACAAAGATTAGAGCGAAGATAGTAAAGCTACATGTAAGTGGCATAGTGGCCAGAATGGTGTCAGCGGCAACTAGGGCATTGGGGGTCAATGCCTGCCCAAATAAGGACTTTGTGCCCAACTAATTTGCCAAATCCAATTACAAGCATGTCACAATTGGTTCACAATCAGACTAACATTTAAAAAAAACGTACTGTAATGCGTGTGTGGTTTTAAATTATTTCAACATACGGTACAATTAATGAAGATTGCATGTTTTGTCTCTAGAATATCTCTAATCAGATCACTGGACATGTAATCATTGATTCAAAGTAGGACATAAAGAATAAAGTCCATTGCTTGGTTGTGAGTCCTTTTAAAGCAGCGATTTAACACAAGCATACATGTTGGACGATTTGAATGAGATGAGAGGAGCATTTTCAAGCCCTCCTTCTCACATACAGGAAACAGCACACAGTTTATGAGGTGAAGGGTTGAGGGAGAGGCCCACACGTGGAGTCAGGTCCAGTTCATCCTCTGATACTCCAGGTGGAGGAGTGAAACAAAAGTTTTGCATGAGGGTGGCGAAGAAGATGAAGAGCTCCATCCTGGCCAGACTCTCTCCGGGACAAATCCTACGACCTATAAGAGAGAAAAGGGGAAAGCTTCAGGTCATCTGTGAGGAAACTGAACACTGACAAGAAGGGAGTTCACAAACCTGCAGAAAAAGGCATGAAGGCATCTCGCTTGACAAACTTTCCATCTTTGTCCAGGAAGTGGGAAGGATTAAAGGTGTGTGGGCTCTCCCACTCACTCTCATCATACAGGACAGATGTCAAGAGAGGATACACGGTGGTCCCCTGTATAAAAGACACATATTGAACTTCCTGGAAATAAAAATAAATACTAAACCATAAAACAATCCCCTGAAACAACTTGTTCATGCTTTATTTTAATAGATTTTTGTCTGACCTTCTTAATGAAGTAACCCTGGAAAGTGATGTCTCGGCTGGTTCTGTGAGGAAGTGCTACGGGGCGACGTTGGCCAGTCTCTGTGTCTCATGGATGACAGCATCAGTGAAGGGCAGGTTCCTCCTGTCCTCAACCTGCACCTGACGACTTCCTATCACCCTGCTCAGCTCCTCCCGGACCTGGTCTGGGAGATGAAAGAGGATAGATGACAAAAATTAAGAAAATTCCTAAATCATTGCATTCAGTTTGTTATCATTAATGAGTCTCTGTAGGTAAAGTGTGTAACTTGGAATGTATGTTTACATATAAAAGCTGAGCACATTTACAGCTCCTTACCCTGCATTTTTGGATATTTGGTCATAAAAAGAAGGCCCCATCTGATTGTAGTTGCTGTCGTATCAGTGCCAGCAACAAACAGATTCAGGACTGTCACCAAAAGATTTTCATTGTGGAAGGGACTGTTGGTAATCCCAGATTTCTGCATATAAAGATCAACAGTTATTCACCTGGTCCCAAAATTTGCAGTGTCATATTATTGTTAAAGAATCACCAAGAATGAATGAGATTGTTTTATTTAGGTAGTAGTGTACAATGATCCTTTCATTGTCCTTAATAGCCTGTAGACTCCATGACACATTATTTTTGGGTCTTTGCTTTTTTTCACCACCTGGGGAGAAGCAACACGAGGACGGCATAACATGGAAACAACGTCACATTGTTCCACTCGCTGTATTAACTAACATATACATTTTAGATTAAGTTATATGTTTCCCAACCTCTAGATTTTGCTTGTGAGCCAGAAAGGCATCCACAAAGCCTCTGCACATCTGTGGATTGAGGGTCTCTTTCAAACGACTGAACAGCTCTAAATTCTGTTTCCTGTTGGCAGCAAACAATCTGTGGTATTCCCTCCGATTGGCAATCCATTTGCAGAGCCACGGGAACAAGTTGTATATCTGTCAAAAATATAAACATATTAATATTTAAAACAATATATAATGAAAAGTTGTATAATGTCTTTTCTGTATTTAATATTTAAATTACAATGCTGAAGGTATAAACTTCAGAAACATAAGAAATGATACCTGTACCGACGGGGTCCCCAAAAGTTGCATGATTCTGTTTGTCCGATCCACGAGGGATGTAAACTCTGGGTCATCATATTCAAATCTGCTGCCATAGGTGATTGAGCAGATAATATTAGAGACTGCATAGTTTATTGGTCGGGCCGTATCAAAAGCTTTTCCTGCAACAAGAAACAATAAAAAAAATTATAATTTTGTACTTAAACTGTTGCTATAGTTAGATAAAATATGCCATTTACCTTTGAACTTCTTAAACACTTCAATGAGTTGGTGACATTCCTCAATGATTTTGTCCTCACAGGCCTTCTTGCCCATCCCAAAGTCTCTCAGGTTAGTTAAGGCAAAGCGCCTCATCTCTTTCCATGAATCGCCATTAGACCATACAATACCTGAGTTGAAGTAGTTCAACAGATTTGAAAAACATGAATAAAGTGTATACATATTTGCCTAACATCAGCCACAACAGGGAGATGGTTGGACTACAGCTTTGTTCTTTATTTGCTTACCATTTCCTTGAATAAATTCATGCAAAATTAGCATTTGATCTCGGTCTCCAAACTCATCAGCGTAGTTGACAAGAGCCTCCTTCACTGTCTTGTATCCTGCCAGGACCACCACTTTCTTGGGTCCCAAATAGATGGTGAACACTGACCCATATTTCTTGGAAAGCTAACAAAAGGGGCACACTGTCATGACATTATCTTGCTTAACACACACACACACACACACACACACACACACACACACACACACACACACACACACACACTGGAGAAAGTATACAACGTGATAGAACTGCTGATAGTATACCTGCCTAGACAGAAGACAAAAGCTAAATAAAAACCTACTCCAGCAAACTCCTTACCTTCAGTAATGTGTTGTAGGGTCTCTTGAGGTCCATCTGCAGCAGGTTACCCAGCAGGGGAAGTGGTTTTGGTCCTGGAGGTTCATTCTCTTTTGCCTGGGAGCTGAAGCTGGAAGAGGAGAATAGGTAGACAAGAAGCAGGAACACCAGAGCTCCTAAGATTGACACAGCACTGGAAGACTGGAGAAAAAGATCTAATATCACCATTACTGGAAAAAAATCTGTATTTGTTTGTTGCCACTGCAGTGAAAAGTTCCCTGACCTGCTGCGTTTGGCTCTGTTGCTGTTTTAAAAAAGATAAATGGCTTCTGTGGCTGTAAAATGAGAACACAGCCCAAAGTTCAAACTATACACTGACGTTAAACAACACTAGTGAGTCTTTGCTCTTGCGTAATTTTTAGGTCAGCATTCGTTGAAATTTGATCAGATGGTGCAATCAGTTTGCAATTGGAAATGCAAGTTCCCAACAGGTGGACAGTACTGCAGGCGTGGAAAGTTCCCTGCAGTGTTGCATTAAATATAGCTAAAGATTTTTTGGTTGCCAGATGGGTTAAAGGCAGAAGTAAGAGTGGTAAGGGTATTCATGGAGTAAACCTTTCCCCTCTAAGTGGTAAATAATTTTCTGACAAAGTTAAGTATTATCAGTAAACTAATTTGAAATCCTTGCTGCTGGGCCAGTGTCACTACATGCTCCTGTGTCATCTTATTCATTGTTAATCTTTTATGTGGTTTATGGAGAGAAGACTCGAAACTGTCAATAGTGGTTGAAGTTTAACCTGGACAGGTCAGATATTCACAACTGTATTTGTAGGCTGGACTTCAACATGCTTACACATCCATATTGTCTTTGTGGTGCATTTTTTATTCTGTTTTGAGTATGTATTGTGAACTTATTAAACTAAAATATAGAAATAGATACACACGCATAGAGGTCGAGACAAGGTAAGACCACCAGAGCCCCTAATTGGAAGACAGAACTGAAGGACTGGAGAAGAAACTCCATTGCTGTAAAAATATCTGTGTCCTTGTTGTTGCCAGAAAGAACAGTTTGTACCATAGATTTTATTTTTTATAAAATTACATAGATTTATTAAGTGAGTGAGCTAAAGTCTTGAACATGGGAAGGATCAGTATAATGCAACTGCATGAAATTTAGGGTATTTTAAAGATTTTTTGTTACACTTAATGAAATGGTTTTAAATTATTTCAACATAGAGTTAATGAAGATTGCATGTTTTGTCTCTATAATGTCTCTTATCAGATCACTGGACATGTAATCACTGATTCAAAAAGATCTGCAAGCATAAAAAGAATGAATAGTATAATAGAAAGAATGAAAGTCCATTGCTTGGTTGTGATTCATTTTAAAGCAGGAATTCGACCTAGGCATACATTTTCTCAAAGCCTATACATCAGTGGACAATTTGAGTGACACGAGAGGAGCATTTTCAAGCCCTCCTTCTCACATACAGGATACGGCACACAGTCTATGAGGTGGAGGGTTGAGGGAGAGGCCCACACATGGAGTCAGGTCCAGTTCATCCTCTGACACTCCAGGTGGAGGAGTGAAAGGAAAGTTTTTTGCATGAGGGTGGTGAGAAAGATGAAGAGCTCCATCCTGGCCAGACTCTCTCCAGGACAAGCTCTGCGACCTGCAAATTAGGAAAAGGATAAACTTCAGGTCCTCTGTGAGTAAACTGAACATCAACAAAATGTGATGGCTGAGTTCACAAACCTGCAAGCGTTTGACAAGGGATAGATGACAAAAGAGAAGGTAGGTTTTGGTCCTGGAGGTTCATTCTCTTTACCCTGGGAGCTGAAGCTGGAAGAGGAGAATAGGTAGATGAGCAGCAGGACTATCAGAGCTCCCAACAGGGAGACAGAATTTGAGGTCTGGAGAAAAAGATCAAATATCTCCATTGCTGTAAAAAAGTCTGTCTTTTTTGCCACTGCAGTGACGATGAAAGCTCTCTCTTCTACTGCGTTTGCCTCTGTGGGTGTTTGGAACAAGTTCCAATGTACACTGAGAACACGGCCCAAAGGTCTGAATACATATTTGATTTATTTTATTACTATAGAGAAGGGAGGGAAAAGATCAAATAAACCATCAAAATGTTTTCTACAAGCTATAGGAACATTTTAATCCAGAGAGAAAGCATGAGAGAGAAACATCTCTGCTCAAATCTGCAACCCCAACCACCAAACCTACTGCTGCATGCAAGCACGGAGAGAGGGAGAGGGAGAAGATTCCAATATAATCTAGTTGCATATATTTCTCATATAAATCGTTACTAAATCTGTCCCTGCTTTTTAGAAATATTGACCAACAGTTGAACTGGGCTCACAGGGCTGCTCCCTCTCTTTTCTGTTGCCGGTGCCTTCAGGCTCATTGGGCTGAGGGGGCTGAGGGGGCTGTTTCGGGCTATTGAAACTCTGTTGCAATATCACAGGGCAGTTTCAGGTTATTGCAACTGACTTTCTACAATTATTGCAAGTAGTAATAAAGCAGTAACTTCAAGAAGTAAGTAAACGGTGAAGTCTCTCTTTCTCTCAAGGAAAGTGCAGTTATTTACTCATCTAACATCTCTGAGATTCAATATTTTAGAGATACTCACAGCGCTCAGATTTTAACTCCAACCCTGTGTTTCTTCATGTCAAACAGTAAAACGATGTTTTGCATTTAGTTTATTTGACGTAGTTTACAGAAGAGCTTTTAAAGTTAAATGTCAACCAAAATAAAAGTCTTTCTTTTGTAGTCATAGAAATAAATGCATCCCATTCCACAGCTCCACATCCCCTGGACTCAACCAGTGGAAACACAGACAGTGCCACTTTACCACTGAAAAGGGGTTTATAGTAAAATCCTGTCATCAGGATTCAAGTACTCTGCTGCCACCTAAATTCTACAGTTATCAACTGCAGTCTCCTCTTTTACCGCTGCGTCATCTCTATGGAAACGCGGCAGCAATACCGTCAAATAAAACCAGTGACATCTGTAACTCTTACTAAGTATTTATGGGGCATTGTTCTCGCTATAGACCCAGTAGCTGTATGAGGTAGCATGGGGTGCCTGAGTAACTCACCTGGTAGAGTGTGCCCCATGTACCGAGACCATACCGCAAAGGTCAGGGTTCAAATTCAGCGCAACAAACTATTCTATAACATAAAATACAGGAAAGACATGAGCAGAATTTAAACTGTTAACACTTTTATTGTAAGTGGTTTGTGATCTTTAATTAACATATATTATTGTTAATAAGCATCTTATAAGGCCATTATTACCTATTAATTAATAATTCTTACAAGAACCTCAATATAAAGTGTAACCTTTTCAATCAGGCCACAAAACTGCAGCCAGATGTGATTAAAATAAAAGTTTGAACACACAGATCAGAGAGGTTCTTTGGGCAAAAGGGCAGTATCTGTTTGGATGAAACCCAGCTGCTTTTCAGAAATCCTCATTTCATTTGAATCCTGTCTGATGTTAAAGGAATTTGATCACTGATAATTTTGTTTACTAGCTAACCCAGTGCCGTGACCTCCCTGAGGGAGGAGAGTGTTTGAGGACAACTTCCATACTACAACCAGGTTTGGGGAGTAACGGATTACATGTAATCAGAATACAAAAAAAGTAACTGCAATCCAGGACAGTTACAGAAAATAGACATAATCAGATTAAAGTTACATTTAGTAAAAAATTAGGATTATTTAGGACACATTTTTGATGCTTACAATCTTCAGTTTCCATTTTCACTTTCACTTTGTCTTTTTTTTTTTTTTACATATTTGGTGTTGAGTTAATCAAGAAGTAGCGGAAAGCAATCGAGTTACATTACTTTAATATTGTGATACTTAGATTAGATAACTGACTACATTTTTTAACATGTAATTACTAACTGTATCGGATTACATTTTTAAAGTTACCCTCCAAACCCGGATTACAATTTACAATTAATTATAGCACAACTTTTTATTGGTTCTGTTGCATGCATGCATAAAACCTTAAGTTCCACTCCCAACTCTTTATTCCACATAAAAACATACACTTGTGTGAAATCAGTACACATGCATAGGTATGCAGGGGAAGGAAGGAAGAGCAAGAACAGATACTACTGACACAGTGAGCCTCTTTAAACTACCTTAAGGCTGATATAGCTTAGTTTTAGTTTATATATATATATATATTTATAGTTTATATATATAAATATATATATATATATATATATTCGGTGTGTGGTTTTGAACATATTCACTATTGTGGCAATGCATTGGAAGAGCACTTATACGAATTACACTCTACTCTTTAGCATGAAACTGAGATAAATCTAACACAGGTCCAAGTCCTCCTCCTCACATACAGGGGACAGCACACAGTTTATGAGGTGAAGGGTTGAGAGTGAAGCCCACACGTGGAGTCAGATCCAGTTGGTCTTCTGAAACTCCGGACGGGGAGTGAAGCGAAAGTGCTGCAGGAGAGTGGCGAAAAAGACGAAGAGCTCCATCCTGGCCAGACTCTCTCCAAGACATATCCTGCGACCTGCAAGAGAAAATAAAGAAAGAAAAAACGTCAGGCCAACTGCCCGACGACTGAACATCAACAAAACGTGATGGCTGAGCTCACAAACCTGCAGAAAAAGGCATGAAGGCATCTCGCTTGACAAACTTTCCATCTTTGTCCAGGAAGTGGGAAGGATTAAAGGTGTGTGGGCTCTCCCACTCACTCTCATCATACAGGACAGATGTCAAGAGAGGATACACAGTGGTCCCCTGTTGATGATACAGAAATTAAAAGGCTTTTCTATATTCTAGCATATAATAGCATTATTTTCAAACTGCACAAAAGTGTTTTAAGGAGCCCTGCTCCATTCTGTTTAATTGCCACATTTATTGTTGAATATGAAGATGTGTATGAAGGACTAAATGATACCTCTTAACAATGACCAGGGGGCAAAATGTGCACACAATGCATGGTTAATGGTAAATTTATAAGTAAGTCAGCCTTAAGTTAACATGTTTAAGTGTGAAAAAAATATGCACACTATACTCTTTTTAAGTTAGCTTTATTGTAATTTTAATCGTAAATGTGTTTTGTAATTTCTAAAATATTTATGGGTTTAATCCTTCATATGAATTATTTAATTCAGACCTTCTTAATAAAGTAACCCTGGAAAGTGATGTCTCGGCTGGTTCTGTGTGGCACTGCCATAGGGACGATGTTGGCCAGTCTCTGTGTCTCATGGATGACAGCATCAGTGAAGGGCAGGTTCTTCCTGTCCTCGACCTGCACCTGACGACTTCCTATCACCCTGCTCAGCTCCTCCTGGACCTGGTCTTGGAGATGAAAGAGGAATGAGGATAGAACAGTAATTTCATTGGTCATCAATTAGTCTGTCCTTTATGTCTTTTATCCACATTGCCTGCATAGTGTCTGGCCAATAAAACCATGTTTTTCTGATTATGATGATTTTTGTGTTGGTAAAGCATATAGCTTGGATTGTGTGTTTAAGTGAGTGAGATGTGCATATCTATATCTTACCCTGTATTTTTGGATACTTGGCCATAAGCAGAAGTGCCCATCTGAGAGTAGTTGCTGTCGTATCAGTGCCAGCAGCAAACAGATTCAGGACTGTCAACATGAGATTATCATCATGGAAGTGACTGTTAGTAATCCCAGACTCCTGCAGATATAGATATAAAAATATGATCCAGACTTATAGCTGTACATAGCACAGCACAGCAAGCTGATCGGTGTGTAAGTTAGTTAGTGCTATGGCAAACACAAATGAAACACCAGAGCTGGAAGTCCCACAGTCAGACGTTCAGCTAGTTTTTTTGTTTTTGTTTTTGCGAAGTTTGGTTTCTGACACTGAGCCAGAGTTAGAAAGCAACTTTCATTTGTCAATTTCTTTTTAAATATATGGTTGTATAGATATAATTTATGGCAAAATTAGATTATTTGGTTGATGTTTTAATCCTCCCTAAAACCAGAAGTAGTGAAAATTATTCTCTTCATCCCTGATTTCATTTCAGGTGCAGACATTTTCCTTGCTGCTTCAATGATTGATCAAATTTGCAGTGACAGGACAAAATTGAAAAAGGACCAGCGTGTAAGATTTAGTGGCATCTCTGTGGTGAAGTTTCAGATTGCATCTCACTTGTTTTATCCACCCTTTCCAAGTGCATGGGAGAAACTACGGTGGCCACAAAATGCACAAAAAATGCAAATGACAAAGAATTGACCCATCAGATAAAATTTCTCAAAGAACCAAATCTCCAACATTAACAAATCAATTCAAATATGATGTTTTAAATCCTAATTAGAAATAATATAAACAATAATATATGATATATAAGATAATAGAAGCATCCAAACCTCCAGATTTAGCTTTTTGGCTAGAAAGGCGTCCACAAAGCCTCTACACATCTGTGGATTGAGGGTCTCCTTCAAACGACTGAACAGCTCTAAGTTTTGTTTGGTGACAAAGTCGGTGATCTGTAGGACTTCTTTTCTGTTAGCAACCCATTTGTAGATCCATGGGAACCAGTTGTACATCTGTTAAGAAAAAAAAGGTTCTTACCAAACTGAAACTTTTTCCTATGTGCAATTAATACAATGTATTTATCATGTATTTAATATTAAAGTCACTACTCTAAAAACTCCATAAAAATAGTGATCGATACCTGTATAGATGGGGTCCCCACAAGTTGAACTCTTTTGTTTGTTTGATCTACCATAGTTGTAAACTGTGGGTCATCGTATTCAAATCTGCTGCCATAGACCATGGAGCAGATAATATTAGAGACTGCATAGTTCATTGATTGGCTCGTATCAAAGGCTTTTCCTTTAACATGGAAAAAAAACAAAAACAAATGAAAATCCCAGCAATTTTTTTTTTACATCCCAAAAGTAGGTAATCACACATTTGATTTAAAAAAAAGAACATTTACCTTTGAAATTCTTAAACACTTCCATGAGGTGTTGACATTCCTCAATGATTTTGTCCTCACATGCCCTCTTGCCCATGCCAAAGTCTCTGAGGTTAGTTATAGAAAAGCGCCTCATCTCTTTCCATGAATCACCATTGGACCATAAAACCCCTGAGATTAAATATGTTTTTAAATGAAAAGACTAATAATGGGTAAATAATAAACCTTTGCAGAAAGTTAACTAAACAGGAAAATTATTATCTCTTTTTATTCTTTCCTTACCATGGCCGTGATTAGTTTCTTCTGCTATTAACATTGGATCTCTTTCACCAAAGTCATCTGCATATGTGACAAGTGCCTCCTTCACTGTCTTGTACCCAGCCAGAACCACCACTTTTTGGGGTCCAAAATACACAGTGAACAGTGATCCATATTTCCTAGAAAGCTAAAAACAGTTGTATATTGTCATTATGTTTTTTTTATACATATAAAACAAAAACATGTGAAGGCAGAAAATGTGATATGACTATTATTGTAACAGTGTTGCTGCTTGGAGAGCATAAATAAATTACCATAAAACATTCCAGTCACTTCCTCACCTCCATTAATGTGTTATAGGGTCTCTTGAGGTCTAGCTGGAGCAGGTTGCCGAGCAGGGGAAGTGGTTTTGGTCCTGGAGGTTCTTTCTTGTGAGCCCGGGAGCTGAAGCTGGAGAAGGAGATGAGGTAGAGGAGAAGCAGGACCACCAGACCCCCCAGCAGGGAGACATAAGTGGTGGACTGGAGAAAAAGATCTAATATCCCCATGACCTAAAAAAACAAAATATATGAATATTCCTGAGGCTTCAGCTTGGTGACTACTTTTCTGAAGAGGGATGTCTTATGTAACAGCCCAAGGGGGAGGGACAAACTAGCCACATTTGTTGCGTAATGTTTAACTATCATTATCACTATTTAACTGTGCGTGGGTGTGTGTGTTTTTTTTGTTTATTAGGATCCGCTTTAGCTTCTGTATAACAGTCGCTATTCTTCCTGGGATCCACACAGTTTATATGGTGACAATCCTATACATATCTATCTCTATCTCTAAACATAGGAGGACAAGGTAAATGGTAAATGGACTGCACTCATATTGCATCTTTCTAGTCTTCAAAGCACTTTACACTGCATGTCACATTCACCCAATCACGCACATTCATACACTGA